CGCTCACAGCGCCCACCACACGCTTTTCCACAGAAGGCCACTCAGTGAGGATGAGGTTCATGGACGCTGGCTTCCAAATGGCCCTCCCAGGTGGGCGCCCGGGCAGCGCCGGCACCGCGTGCGTGTCACCCCGGGGGCCCCGACAGGGCCACTGGCCAGCAGCCCGCGAGCACTTTGCAAGCGCGACGGCCTGTGTTCGTACGGCCGGAAACTGGCTCAGCACTGGCCAGGGGGCGAGGCGGGAAACATCCCTCTTTTACAAATGGAAAGAACTAGAACCTAGAAGAGGGAAGTCAGTTTGCAGAGTCAAAACAGCCAGCGTGCGCCTGGCATGATGGGGTCCGGGACACTGTCGTCCCGGAGGCCCGGTAAGTACCCTTCCGCACAGGGCCGCCGGGGGCAGAGCGATGGTGCTGCCCGAACGCGCTCTGCGTCCTAGGGGGTTCGGAGCCAGGCGGTCAGAGGGAAACTAGGTTCTCCTTAATTACCTTCGTTCTACCGTATCGTGGCTTTTCCAACTCAACCAAGACGTGTGGCGGTGTCCCAGCTCAACGCACTATTCAAAACGCACACCTGCAATCCAGCACCGCCACCTGCTGACTCATCGAAGGACACGGTGACTGAGAGCGTGAGATCCCTCCACCACCTGTGGGGCCCCTGAGGGCCACAGGACGCCCCTCAATAAACTCCTAGAGCTACATGCTGCGGAGCCACTCGAAAACTGCGTATTCCTGAAATCACTGATGGGGAAGATATTCACCGAGCAGTAGCCGGCGAGAGGTTCCCACCACGCAACGTACACACGAACTCGTTTCTGTAGAAACGTTAACGCGTGAAGGTTTACAAGGATATATAGACTAACTCATTAATCTTAGTTCCGTTTGGGCAGTGGATTTTTTTTTTTCTTTTTTGAGACGGGGGAAGAGAGAGACACAGAGAGAGACAGCGTGAGCGCCTGCGAGCAGAAGAGGGGCAGAGGGAGAGGGAGGGAATGGCAAGCGGGCTCCACCCTCAACACACAGCCCGACTTGGGGCTTGACTCTATGACCCTGGGATTGCGACCCGAGCAGAAATCAAGAGTCAGATGCCCATCTGACTGAGCCTCCCAGGCGCCCCTGGGGAGGAGGATTTTTTGAAAACAGTTTTCTGTATTATCGGAATGTTCTTGTTCTCTCCCTTGTGCATTGAACATACTACTTGTATTTTCATCAGGAAAAAAAAAAAACAATTTTGAAACAGACGATCAGAATACACACTTAGGAAAGAAAGAACTAAAGGGTAGTCTCCATGAAGGAAAGGCCGTGCTCTACCTGAGAAGCAATGTTGAGTGTGACCGTGTCCAGTCCTCCGGAGAGCAAGCCCTGAGTATCGGCCAGAGTCAGCGTGACGCTGGCATCTCCCCCCGCCCCTGATGAAGACATGACCAGGTTCTGAGTAGATATGGCCGACGGAGACATGGGTGTCGTCGAAGGCAGGCTTCCAGTTGTAGCATTAAGTTCTGCAAAAGAGAAGAATGAACACATCAGCGGTGGAGCTAGATAAGCCCGGTTCTGCTGGGACAGGAAGAGCGGCTTTCATAGAGGAACTGCGTCTGTCATCATCAGCGTCTACATCGCCCCCACTTTTGAAATTGCATCAAGATAATCAGAGAATCTTTTGTTCCCATTTCATGGCAAGGCTTCTATAGTTTCTAAATATCTTTATATACGTAAATACACTCTGCTTAAGTATAACGTAGAGAAAAAACAAAACAGGACGAGAAGAGTAAAAATATGACCCTACAGTCCTAGTCACTACCGCTAAGGCAGAAGGAAACTGCCAAGAATTTCCAGGACACCGTCCCCGTCGAGGACCAGAGAGCAGCCTGAAGGCACCGAATGTGACCCCCTGAGCACCGATCGGCTCCAAAGCTCACGTGACCATCTCTGCTGAGGCCTCCCCTCCACCTCCTTTAGGTCTGCTTCGTCTGAAATGAACCTCATGCGCCCTATAAACATTAATTTATCCTTCGTGATATCTTACTCTTCTTTGGAAAAGACAACAAGACTTTTTGACACTTTCCCCCTGTAGCCAATGAGAAGAGAAAGGAAGGTATCTGGGACAGAATCAGGCAAAGGAGGGCCTCTTCTTCTACGAAACAGAAACTCATGCACCCGACTGGCAAATGAGAGGGCTGAGCACGGGGTGTCGAGGGCCTGCGGTCCGCACCGACAAAAACACGCTTGTGAGGTTTCACTGGTAAGCATAGCACACATGCACATGCGTGTACACACACACACACACGCACGCACAAATCTCACGATCTAGGCTTCCATTCATCTAACAAACATGACTTATCATCCACGGTGTCAGCCGCTGGGCTCGGTGCTACAGATACACCAAGATGGTAACTGAAGCAGAGTTGAAAACACTATGTCCTCATTAGGTGTGAAAACAAAACAAAAAGAGACTCCTGCGGATCCTTGGCAGTGACCTGGGTCACATCGGTCCAGAGCCTCTGCTCTGATCAGGGGCCAACAGGGAAGCTAGGTTACTTACTTGTAACTGGAGTCCTCCAAATACAATGCCTCCATAGATCCACACTCTTGGAGTCCCACACTGTGCTGCACAGACCTGGAACCTTCAAAAGCAGTATAACCATTAGGAGGCTAGGAGTCTCTGCTCTGCACAGCCACCGGGGCTCCAAAGACAACCTCGCCGGACCCCTCCCACCTTGCCGGGCATCTGCGCAGAGCGGACTGCTAAGACACGCTAGGACCGGAGGAGTGTGGATTTGTGGAGGGTGTATGTTCTAAGCACTCCAGTTACCAGCACAACGGTCAAGCTCGTGTTCTAACCTCACCTCCACGCACCCTTACTCTTGCAGACCAGCATGATTTTAACAGGAGTGGGCAAAGATTAAAAAGAAGGATCCTGTAAAACGTGGCAGTGACCAGACGGGTGAACTGATGTCCGGTCAAAATCACTAAGGAGAAGACGGGGGTTGGGCTGTCAAAGCGCCGGGCGGAGAGAGGCGTGCCGGCACCAGGCTCGCCAGGATCACATCTACAAAAAGCAAAGCCAAGAGCTGCTCCTCGGATGGCCAAGACTTGGTCAAACCTCACCCGAAATAAAGGAATTCCTGAAATAAAGGAACGAGACCTCTTCTCCCTCCCACCAGTAGCATCTTTCTCTCTGACGATTATTAACGTAGGGAGAGGGTCCAGGGCTGTGCAGCACAAGAAACGCAACGAGAAAACAGAAGCCTGTGTGTCGTTTCGCTGAAGCGAATCCTGACACACGGGCCAGTGGAGACACTAACCTCACACAACGCCTGGAGCTCACGTCTCTCTCCAAGTGTGGGGGTGCACTTCACGTGCGTGCTTCGTTCAAGACATTTCCCACAAAGAGGATATCAGCTCAAGTACAATTTCAATCCTCAAAATGGTCCAAAAACAGGTGATGTGAGTAGGAAAAAAATGGAATTTTCTTCAGCATGAAATTAAGTAACTAAATCACATTTGTTCAATATATAGTTCTAAATTACAGAAGAAGATTTATTTAAAGCTCAGAAACCACAGTTTTAACTCAAATTAAATACTCTCAACATGGAAACTGAGACTGAATACTGGAGCAAAGGCTGCAAAAAGTCTTACTTTCAGTTTTCATTCACCGGCTCTGAAGCACAAACACTCAGGCTGTACCACAGAGAGCTAGGTCCTACTTCAGCATATGATTCTAACTCCAAAAACAGGAACGTCTAAAGGATTAACAAATCTCTTCCGGTCCTCAAACCCAACACTGTATTCAATCTTTGTTGGGATAAGTTTTCATAGCTTCTAAGAAAACTTAATTACGATTTTGGAAGGTTTCATAAGTAGTTTAAAGGATGTGAGATCAGTTTTTTCTTGAGATAAACAAAGATGTGGCAATAAAGGTTGGGGGGGGGGGGGTCACGGGAACAGGGAAACACACAGTCCAGCCATTCGTTTCCAAGGAGAAAGTGGGGAGAATGTCCTCCCTACTTATAAAATGTTCCCAACAAATGGGGAATGGGAAATAAGCAATTGATTATACTTAAATCTAGAAGACACCAAGGCTAAAATAACCTTACAAAGGAAGGAAAGAATTCCTTTTTTTTCACTGAAAGCATAACCCAATTTATTCATCAAAATTATCTTAACAGTGGACGAGGGTAAGACCAAAAAGATGATTCCCGTTTGAGATCAATTCCTTAAAAAGTTGTGCTAAATCTCTCAAGCCTCTGAAAGGGCACTTGCGTCACATCTGACCGTTTTCTGATACAAGCACGTGTGTCCGATGCTGTCACCAACGCCCTTGGAGCCAATGAAATGGCTTTCGGCCCCGTGTCAGACACCCGAACACAAGCTCGTGTTTCTGTCTCGCATGTGAAACGCTGACTGCAGTACTTTGATTCACGTATAGCCCCCCCTGGAACGTAACACACTTCTTTTCAACGCTTCAGTTAGGTAGCACGCCGTCCCGGGGGGCTGGGGAGCCTCGGCCCATCTTGTGAACAAGACGGAAAGAACTACAAGTGAGAACAGTCACGGGCATGCCAGCCTGCTCTGGTCTAACGGACTGGCTGGCAACAGAAGTTTTGTAAAATCACTGAGGGTTTTAGAAGAGGCATGTCTTGGGGCGCCTGGGTGGCGCAGTCGGTTAAGCGGCCGACTTCAGCCAGGTCACGATCTCGCGGTCCGTGAGTTCGAGCCCCGCGTCGGGCTCTGGGCTGATGGCTCAGAGCCTGGAGCCTGTTTCCGATTCTGTGTCTCCCTCTCTCTCTGACCCTCCCCCGTTCATGCTCTGTCTCTCTCTGTCCCAAAAAAATAAATAAACGTTAAAAAAAAAAAAATTTAGAAGAGGCATGTCTAAGTCACATGTCAAAGTCATTTTGGTCTCAACTCTGGCACGGTGTGGCCTGAAGCCTGGTCTGGGAGTGACTTTGACGCTCAGGAAAACGCCGCCCTTTCAAGAAGCAATGTCCCGCCCTGTACTGTACTGACGGGTCAGCTCCCGCATTATCACCGGTACCAGTGGATACGCAAACCTCGCAAAATAGTTGCCAGCTATCAAGGCCTGAGTAGTTCAGCATGTGGAAGAATTTCTTCCTGTATCTGGAATCGTTCAAAGATGGCAAAGGTACACGAGAACATAATACAACTGACCTGGTCGTATAAACTCGATCCTGTGTTTATGACACCTGCTATTACATCACTAAACAAACGTGTTCACGTTATGAGCTCAACTTTTATTTTATTTCACTAAATTGCTTGGAAAATAAATTTGAATAAGGCACCAAATTAAGCTCAAGTGACATCAAAAAAAAAGTATTCTCGGGGCGCCTGGGTGGCTCAGTCGGTTAAGCATCCGACTTCAGCTCAGGTCACGATCTCGCGGTCCCTGAGTTCGAGCCCCGCGTCAGGCTCTGGGCTGATGGCTCAGAGCCTGGAGCCTGTTTCCGATTCTGTGTCTCCCTCTCCCTCTGCCCCTCCCCCGTTCATGCTCTGTCTCTCTCTCTCTGTCTCAAAAATAAATAAACGTTAAAAAAAATTAAAAAAAAAAAAAAAGTATTCTCAGCTGGCTCTAAAACAGTAAGTCCAGGGGCACCTGGGTGGCGCAGTCGGTTAAGCGTCCGACTTCAGCCAGGTCACGATCTCGCGGTCCGTGAGTTCGAGCCCCGCATCCGGCTCTGGGCTGATGGCTCGGAGCCTGGAGCCTGTTTCCGATTCTGTGTCTCCCTCTCACTCTGCCCCTCCCCCGTTCATGCTCTGTCTCTCTCTGTCCCAAAAATAAATAAAAAACGTTGAAAAAAAAAAATTTTAAAAAACAGTAAGTCCAAAGGGAAAAATAATTAAATCATGGAAAAGGGCTCGTTCGTTGTTTTCAAAGAAACGCTAGTGAATAACACCCAGGACCCTTAGGCACAACTGGCTGTGGTCAGCTCTACTTCACGAGGGACCCTCCCCTGCACGCAAGGCTCTACGGCTCTGTGCGGGGGCGATCCCAAGGGAAAACACTTCCTCTCTAACCAGACGACAGTGTTGTAATGAAGTATACTGGTGGCCAAAACAGGGCCCTCAGGCCATCCGCTTCTCCATCCTGATCGGAACATCTCCCATTTTCAATTATCTGCTGCACCAGCAAACACCCACAATCCCCAGAGCAGCACAAGAAAACCACTCCATGTAAATCGAAACACCTGAAACCACTGGTCTTTCCAACCATTTGCCCAGGATTCAAAAAGATGTTAAGCAGAGCTTCCAGGGAGACACGAGATGTCACGGCCCCAGGGGAGCGGGCTGAGAGAGCTCACATGGCTAGCATTCCAGAACAGAGTCCGCACCGGAGCCGGACAGCCACTCGCTCCGGCCTACGAGACACAAGGATCAGATACAGAGGGGACATCATGGGCCAGAAATCCAGACTCTGGATCTGCCGACATGGGATTCGAACAAAGTTCTTAACCACTCAGGCCTCATTTCATGCTTCAGCAAACGACAGGGGTGGACAGATGCCCCCACACTCCCAGCCCCACTCTCACAGAAGCCCTGTCCCAACAAGGTTAAATCCCCCAGGACCGATGGCCTATTTTCCTTTATACATCGTTACCGCCACAAGTTTACAATGATTTACGGATTCCTCAGTAAGTGCCTGTGTCCCATTAGTTCCTAGGATCCTAAGTGCAAAGGCGCTACGTCTGCCTTGCTCAGTATTCTATTCCCAGATTGAGTACAGTTCTTATCACACAGTACACATTATACAGTCTGTTAGTGAAGAAATGAATTACCGGATAAGAAAGCATCTCAAATGAGCATGAAAAAGAAAAAAAGCCTAGCTGCGCCTCCAAATATATGTAAAAATTAAATTTTTCCTCTCAAAAGATGATATGGAGAGTTGGAAAATAAGAAGGCTAAGAAATTAACAAGATCTCTACAAGAGGAGATAAACCAGACAGGCATGTCGTTGGAAACCGTTGACCATTACTTGCGAAGCTGTCATTTATGTTACTGGAGATCATTTAAGTTTTTATAGAACTCTACACTTGAAAAGCTTAGCAAGAGGCCATTTTAAAACTGCATTCTCCTAACAGCAGCGGGTGACAGGAGACTCAGGCTGCAGGGCGCGGAGGAACGGGCTGGGTTCCCGCACGGGGAACAGGGCACGGTTCTGTGACGAGCCCTCCAAGTGCTAACTCGCGCAACTCCATCGCGCCTCGTGTGTCGGAACAGGACCGTTCCCCTGCCCTCCCTGGCAAGCAGAATTTCGGCTCGGCTGCTAACCCCACACGCACGGGTAAGGCCAGGGAGTATGGAATCACGTGACACGTGACAGAGCACAGATGACACGGGGGTCCTGCTCCCGTCCGCCGACCCCCCGACCGGGGGCACAGCCCTGTGGCCACGCCGTGGCACACAGCGTGTCCGTGGCTCAGCCAGCAGCCGCGTGCACACCTGAAGAGCTCAGCGGTACACTCCACGAGAGCAGCTGATCACTGCCTCCGGTTAGGGTGGCACCTGGACACTGATCATTGACTGCAGGTGCTGACAATCTCATGCTTCCGTTTAGGTCACTATTTCCGTAAGAATTGTGCTGAATGAGGTCTCGACCTACATGGAAATTAATACTGTGATATCTGAAAATAACATGTTAACTTACATACTGGCACGTGTGCTAAGCATATAATAACATCTTATTCAAATTAAAGCTATTTCACTTTTAATAATATTCCTAGAAAAACTGAAAAGACCAGCAATACATTTTCCCTAAATGACGGTATTTGTTTCCATTTTTTAAGCTGTTAAGTATTTTCAAGTGCTTCCAAAGAGTTCTATTTTAACTCCGTATTTAGGCACTTAAAATTACACTTTGTTGACTAAAACTTAAACTGACTTGAAAATACTTCCAAATGCGGTAGACTGGCAGGTGTGGCTGGGTATGTTTGTAAAAGCAGGTGACCCTAGAGCCCCCGAACCCAGCCGCCGCCGAGCGGGCTTGCGCGGCGGGGACACTCAGCACTAGGGCAGGCGGGGGGAGGGGACCTGTGCCGCTCGCCTTCCAGGAAGCGCTGGCCTTCGCCTCCAGACCCGCCCGCGGATGCCAGCTTCGATGGCCACAGGAGTCACATAAGCGTAAGCGAACCGCATGGAAAACAGACGAACAGAGAAGGGGAACGGCTGCTGACGGAATCTTTGCAAAGACCGGACGTGAACGGGTTACTTTAAAAACATCTGCTGTCAAGTTAGGCAAACGCGAGACTAAACCGGGGGGGAAAGCGTCAAAAGACAAAGGAATGCTGCACTGCCACCGTGCTGTGTAATTATCGACATCGTCACGCTTCGGTAAAGACACAGGAGCAGGAAATGAAGCTGCGTGCTGTGGGCATGAGCACGGGCAAAAGGAAAAACGCAAACTCCTATCAGCAGAGCAGACCCGTCTTCAAAGGATCTGTGGATGAAGGTCATCACTTTCTTGATTCTCTGCCTGACATAACTTTTCACTGAAAACCGGACCAAACCATCAGAGAAGAGGACCTTATTGTGGAGACACGAGACAAGTTGGGGAGCCCGGGGGCTATCGTTGCCTTGTACCCCATATTTTTTTCTCAACTGACTTCCGAATTGCTAAGAGTCTACAAAGCTCAATCGAAGTTTTGCTTTCTAGCACCGACAAGCATTCATAATTACACACATTAATGGAAAAAACAACTGAAAATCTCTACAGAGACCGCAAACTGTTTTCCTACAGCCTTTTCCGAACGGGATAAGGAAACGCTGACTTGTGACTTGACAACTCTCATGATGCGTAACAGTGAGGATTGAGAATTAGAAGCCTCCGGCCCAAAGTTTGGGAAAACCTCGTGTCATCAACTGATTTAAAGATTCCTCCCAGGGTAAACCTTTTAGGCTAACTTTTAAACAATTAGTTAAATTCACTTCCTTATTCTGAATATGCCAATATGCAAAGTATCTACATGATCAATGATAGGAAAATACAGGAGAAACAGAAGCACAACCCATAAGCTAAATAACACACTTTCTCAACTATAAGCCAGAATCTTGGATTATGTGTCTTTTGTACAGGATTCACACAATGCCTCATACACGGAGGGCACACCAAAAAGTTAATTTGATCAACAAAGGTTTCTCAACATAAAAAACATTAAAATTCAGATGCATATAACAAAAGTAGGAAGGTTACCGAATTCTATAAAACTGTAAGTTAATTTCCACTGCCTAAGAGCGTCTAAAATCACTCACGTCGCTCAAAATCAAAACTCTGAGAATAGCTCCTCAAGTTTCTCACCCGCGTTAAAAGGAAAAGATGCTCCCTAAGAAAGCAAGCTTTCTTCAGTTTTCTAAGTAAATTTTCCTCCTTTTGCAATAGTAATCTCCGCAGGAATCTCCCTGAAGCGCAAGTGCGTTACCCGGTCCGCCCTCCGCCCTCCGCCCTCCCCAGTGTTTAAGGGAAAACGCTCCTCTTCCGCCATCACACCCTCTCTCCAGGGGCAGCGTTCGCCTCCCAGCGAAATGTTTTTCTTATTTGTAACAACAGCCTCATAAGGTTGCTATGAGGCTTGAATGAATTAATATTAAATGAGTTCATATTTGTAAAAGTCCGTAGAAGAGCGCCTGGCACATAGTAAGGGTCATACAAAGGGCTGCTAAATTTGAAAATGACTGTTAATGACCACAAAGGGCTCACAGCTAAGAGTCATGTGGGCAGCACACCGCTGTAAAACGTGTTCCAGGCTGACCTAGGTCACACACGACACAGACGGAGAGAAGTCTGGTCGTGGACGTGACAGCCCGGAGACACGGAACGCCTGCTCTCGGCTGACACACGGGATCAATTTGCCAATTTCAAGTGACCTCCACTGCCAAAGGCCATCATCTTCCCGTTTCTCCACTCTTCGGTGCTCTACCCCACATTTAACGCTGTTCCACACGGCCTGTGCAGAGTCCTGGGAAGTCAGGAGGCGCCCAGAGCATCCTCACGCTCAGGTTGTGCCGACCACAGTCCTCTAGTTTCACGTAGCAGGAAAACGGCACATGAAGCCACAGCTTCCTGCTGTCTGCTAACCAGAGCGAGGTGGCCACACAGTGGTCTCAGAGTGGACGTGAGGAACTCTCACTTTTAACTTCTGGTTCGATCTCAACTGTGACGGTCTTTCGCTAAGCCTGAATCTCCCACACGTGTTACCAACACTTCCGGAGCGCTGGCTTTGTGCAAAATTCGGTGTTGCCGAAAACATACATACATACGACTAAGACACACTTCAACTGTGGGGGGAGGAGATTTAAGACGTTAAGTGACTAACCAGAGATGGTCAGGGTGATTTCCTGCGGGGACCCGGAGGACGACGCGGCAGCGGGCCCGGCAGCCTGCGCCAACACCTGGCTCAGACTCGAGTTGTTAATGGTCAGGGTGATCTCGTGGGGGCCGCTGGAGGTGGATACCAGGCCTTGCGACGTCACCACCTGAGAGAGGTCTTGAGTCCCTGGTCGTCGTGACAAAACAAAACAAAGCTGGGCTTAAAAGAATAGTAATTTTCTTTCGTATGTGTTATCTTAATGTTATTTTAATCGTAAACTGTTATTTCAAGAGAAGATTCAGAAGAAAACATCAACCACGTGTAGAATCCCCTCATCCGAAAAGACAAGACGCCTTGGAAACAGGAAGGCAACAGGACCGCGGGAATTACGTGTGGGCGGAAAGGGATGTGCGTAGACTGAACGCACATCACTTAGCAGGGGAAAAGTGCGCGTGTGCTGGGGACGCTCCACGTGTTTGCTGAGCTTGGTAAGGAGAGGAAAGGGGAGCCACGGAGCCCGAAATGCAAATGCGTGACCACAAGCAAGGAGCTGGACCCCCGGCTGCCGCTTACCGCTGCTGGTGGTCATCACGGGGTCCTGCTCAGACAGCGGGCCGACGGTCAGACTGGCAGACGTCACCGTGGGCTGTAAGGACAGGCCTGAGATGGGCTGGATGACGACACTGGCCGGGACCGTGCTGTCCTGTGTCTGCAAGGCGCCGTTTTGGGAGGCCAGGCCGGGCTCCCCCGGCAGCTGCTGACTGAGCAAGTTGCCCTGCTGTAGCGTCTGCTGCAAAATACTTGGGTCAATCTGAAAGGCAAAACAGGTACCTGTGACGGGCAGCGCACGCTCACGTGTGATCGTGTCACGAGGTACCTGTGACGGGAAGCGCGCTCACGTGCGATCTTGACCAATTAAAGCCCGGAAAACCTCAGAAGCGGCATACCTGTAACGTGATGTTGTTAATGCTGGAGGCATCGATTCCAGAGATCTGGACGTTTGGCCCGACTAAGTTAGCAGCCAGCTGTAACTGTATGCCCTCCAGGCTGGTCAAGCTCCCGTCCGTCAAAGACACTGTCCAGTCACCACCAGCTGCAGAGGAAGAGAACCGGGATGACTGCGTATCTGAAAGCCTTCTTAGAAAGCAAAACAGAACAAAAACCCCTCATTTCCATATGGGAATTTTTGTGTACACGGTTTTATTCGTACATCAACGTGATGTGTGTAGTTAAGGCATACTAATATTGCCACCAGACACACGCATGATCTAATTCACCCAACACAAAGCATCCTCTGAAATAGGTGATGTTACGCATTTTAAACACACGAGCAAACTAGGCTCAAAGAGACTACGCTGACTGGCCCAAGGTCTAAAACAACAACTCACGGCTGTGTTGTATCTTTAATGGCCCCACGGGTCACATCCACAGGCTGCTGACACTCACTCTGTGACTTGTAAGTGCACGACAAGCCCGAATGGCTGAAAGTTCCTATTTTTCAAGCACTGGGTGACCCACGTGACCCGAGAGCGATTATTTAAAGAACTCTAGGATAGCACACACGATGTCGGAGGGGAGTCACCGGTCACGTGTGTCACTGTCACGTCTGTGGGGTGCAGAGCAAGAGGCATACGTAAACCCAGGCAAAGCAGCTCAGAGCACCGTGAAGGGTTCAAAGCAGATGCTGCAGCGGGAGGAACAGGGACGGGAGGGTGACTCGCCTCAAGAGTGAAATGTACGTTTTCCCACCTGCCTCACACGGGCAAACCTCAAGGGAGAGAAGCGCACGTCGTGGACGGAGGGCCCCCCCCACTCCCACCCCACCCCCAGCACACCAGTGCCGCCCAGGCCCGGCGCTCACCCGACACGGAGGCAGGGAGGATGGCCTGGCCCACCAGCCCCTGCGGAAGCACGTTCTGCTCGAACTGCCCCGTCAGGACAGAGTTGTTCATGACGAACACGCTGGGGTCGGCGGATGACGGGCTGAGCAGATTTAAGGGCTGCAGCGCCTCCGACGGGCTTCGGGCCACGGGCTTCCTGGCTTTCTTCGGGTCGGGTTTATAATGAAACTGCATGTGCGTCTTCCTCCGCCCGGACGTGCGGAAGCGCAGCTCACAGTGCGGACACTTGAAGGGCTTCGCTCCCGTGTGCAAGCGCATGTGCACCTTCAGGCTCCCCTTTGTGGAAAAGGCGTTGCTGCACACGTGACAGCTGAAGAGCTTCTGACCTGCGGAAAGGTCAAGGGTCAGTGGGGCCCACGACGCGCCACACCCACGCGCAAGCGGCGGGGCGGGGGGCGGGGCCAGGTACGTCAAGGAGGACCCTGTTCTGCGGGTGCTGGCGCAGAGACCTCGCGGTGAGCACCGCCACAGCCTGCGTCCACGACCCCACAGCACCTGGGCGTCTGCACCGCCTCTCACCGAGCCTCGACGGGACCCGGGGTGGGGGCACTAAGCGGCTCAGCCCCGTGTCGCTGTCACTCGCCCCTCGGTTTACAAAGGGCACCTGTACGTGTCAGCACACGTCTATCTTCTTTCTGCAGGGGGGCCCCCGGGACACCTGCGCAGGTGGGGAGTGGCCACAGGTGTGGATCACGTGCTCAGCTCCTGGGACTCTGAGCCAAGGGCATGACGGAGGCCGGGAGGTGGGGCCGAGGGCCCGGTCACCCGCCTACCCTGCCCCGGAGAGGCTCTGGGAGGACTAAAGCGTCCCGGTTTTCTGTTTCTATTTCTCCCAGAAACAATACTGACTTCTATTTAACCGGGCGGGCACGCTGGGACCCACCCCGGGACTAGGGAGGCCAGCTGTCCAGCCCTGCTCGGGGCCCTCAGAGGTCACCCGGGGAGCCCGGAGTGCAGGACGAGGCCTGAAAGGTATCTCTCACAGAGACTTTTCTTTCTGGGCCTCAGGCACAGGGGCCAACACAGAATCCCGGCGTGCGAGCCATCGTGAACACCACTGGCACTGGCCAGGTGAGAGGCCCCTTCTGGTCCTGGCGGCTCACAGCATCACACGAGAGGGACAAAAACACAGCACCCGATGAACCAGCGGAAACACTGCCCACAGCAGGGGCGCACGCTAAGTTCCTGTATCTATCTATTAAATTCCAAACACTAACCCATCAGAAAAGAATCATAGGACTTTACATAAACATGTGAAATTCCCTTGTACATTTTTGGTCAATTCTGCCGGGAACCAAAAATGAAGAATATAAATGAGTTTCACAATCATAATCCTATGAATCACATGAACAACTCTCCCGTTTACTGAGAGTTCACCACAGTTCCCGCGACAGCCAGAGGCTCCGAGAAATGGCCCGGAAGCGAGCACAGACGTCAAATCTGCGCGGGGTGTGCAGGCCTGCCCCTTAACCACTGGGCACCCTGTGCAGGGCAAGCAGCAAAGCCCTGCTGTATTTTAATGAGCACCATTAACCTTCAGTTCCTCAAATGAGATGAAGAAAAAAATGGCTATTGGGAATCGTACATTAATGTTTTTCCTTTATAAGATTTCCCCCCACCTGAAAAGAATTATTAGCTGGTAACTATAATCAGCTTGGCTAAATCCCCAGTTCTTGTAAAACCTCGACAAACCAAAGGTCTCTGGCCTAAATGAGACTAAGAAAGAATTTTCTTAACAAAGGTGTTCAAGGCGCAGTAAGAACACTGACAGCAGGCAGCTCGGCATCGGAGACCGGGCTCCTTTTCCTCCGTGTTTTCTGGATCATTTCTCCCAAGTCAGAAATCAAAACTCCTTTTATACCTATTTCTTCATGGTTCCTGACTTCTAAGCTTCCTATGATCTTGAAAGGTAGACGGGGACAAATACAAAATGCCATCGTGGTGCCTAGGGGGCTCAGTCAGTTAGCAGCCAACTCTCGGGATTCAGCTCAGGTTGTGATCTCAAAGGACATTAGTTCGAGCCTGCTTGGGATTCTCTGTCTCCGTCTCTCTCTGTCCCTCCCCTGCTCATTCTCTCTGTCTCTCTCAAAATAAATGAATGAACATTTAAAATTCTCTACAAAGCGCCATCATAAGGCACCGACGTGGAGCACAGGCGCCCAATCGTACCTGTGTGCGTCTTCACGTGGCAGTCTAGGGTCGATTTAACAGTAAAGCTCTTCCCACATTCATCACATTTATATGGCTTTTCTCCAGTGTGGATTCGCACGTGCCTAACCAGAAAGCATTTACAGTAAGTGTTTTTATTTTTAATTTTATACACATTTACAAGCAATCTCATGATTTTAAATTCGTAACTATGCCTGTAAGTAAAAAATATGTGTTAGTATGGGCTGAATAAACTCGGCCAAATAAAACCTTTGATCTCCATCTACACAAAAACGGCAGAAACAAACTCAGAAGCAAACAAAAACATCTGCAAGATGGACGAACACAGCGCTAACTTTTCTTAAACCGAAGAGTTGTTATAAATCAGCAATAAGACCAGAAACACCACAGTAGAAGAACGGACAACGCATAGGAAGCTCAGAGAAGAAATACAGCCAAAAGCCACGGGAAAGCGTTTCACCCATACCCAGAATTGAAAAAGAGGAAATGAAAACACAAAGCTAGCATTTCTGCTGTCAGTCAGATGAGGCCTCAGTCAGGGGGGCAGTCTGGGCACCACCTGGCGGCAGTGACCCAACCCCCCTGCAGGTGCACCCGCGAGGGCTCCTGTAGCGACCAGAGACAGAAAGCGTGCCATGAGATGAAAGTTGGCATTCCCCCGCGACAGAACACGTCACCACTAAGAAGAAGGTAACAAGCTTGCAGGTACAAACAAAGAAGGGTGTCTACGACTCAATATGTAAAAACTATACCAAAAAATAAAACTGTAGAACTTAATGGTGACACGTGGACATTTCTGGGAAAAACACGTAAGAACCAGTTGACAGCGGTTGTCTCTGGGGAGCAGGAAGGACTTTTTCTCACTTGATGGTGTCCCGGGCTGTGCTTTTCTTTTGTTTTGCTTCATCACAGGACCTGGTCCTCTCCCCCTGAACGCTCTGCTGTCTTACTCCCCACTTAATTGCACCTGACCTCCGGGTGCCCAGAAGGGACACCACCACCACCTCCTCGGCACGCGCCGTCGCCCCACTCACCCCCCTCGCCGCCACCCTCGCTGCAGTGGGAGGAACAGGGCAGTCCAGCGGTCACCCAGGCTCACTGATGAGCACTTCCAGCCCAGTGGCCGCTCTGCCACCAGCCCCACCCACATGGAGGGCACTGAGGGCTCAGGAGGAGCTGGAGGGCAGCCTGCTCCTTCCCCCGCCTCCAACTCCGAACTGCTCCTCCCTGTGTCAGGGGGCCCGGTATCCCCCAACCTACCAGCTTGCTCCTAATCCTGAGCCGTCCAGAGCGACCCTGCAGAGACTGCAGGAGAACATTCTACCTCCCCGTCTTTCCCGCAGGCTGACCTTGCCCCCAGCCCTCGGTGTCCCGTTTCCAAGTCTGCATCATCCTGCTGGACTTGACCTCACATCGTCAGTCACTGCTTGGACAGACTGGTGTGAACTGCACGCTGCCTCCTGACACGCTCGCTCCCGCCCCGGCCTGAGCCTACGCCCCCCGCTCCCTACGCACACCAGCACCCCTGGGGATAAGGATGTCCCTGATGCTGTTTGCAAATGTACAAAGCTCAGCACCATGTTGTCTTCGAGAAATAACTCATTTCCTTTTCTTTTCTTTTTTAAACTAGAGCAGCACACCCCCCCGCGGGAGGTACGGTCCAAGACGCCCCGTGTGTGTACCAAACCGTATTACACCGTTCATTCCTATACCTGATACTTATCGTGAGGTCTGATTTCTAAATTAGGCCCGGTGAGGTTGATGGCAACTGATGATGAACGGGAACACTCACAACAACACACTGTGATAGAAGTTAAAATACCGGATTGTGCCACATCCCCCCCCCACCTCCTTCCGCGATGACGGGCAGTGATGACATGTCCACGTGAGATGACGGCAGGTGACAGACATGGGCACGTGACCCAGCTCAGGAGGAGGGTCGCCCACTTATGGGCCACGGTTGACTTCAGGTAACGAGCAGAAACCGCAGATGAGGGGGGGACGCTGCACCCCACGGCTCTACAGAAAGGAGTACAATCCACGCAGCAAACTCATTTCTCACCAACTTCCTGAATGAGCCCAAAGGGAAGCCTCAAAATTTACGCGGGCTTCAAATCGTAACTCAGGAGACTCCTCAGCCCCTCGCGAGGCACCGGGTTCCGACAGGGACCCCGCGACGGCACCATCGAAGGCTCCCGGGGACGCCCCTCCCGAACCCCCGGGGCAACACCGCGACCTCACCTCACGAGGTCACTGGGCTTCTTGAAGCTCTTGGGGCAGTAGGAGCAGCAGTTGGCGAACTTGGGCTCGGCCTCCAGCTCCGCCTGTCTGTCCTTCATCTCGCTGACGCGGTCCTTCTCGGCCGCCGACTGCACCAGGACCTGCTCCGACACCGTCGCGCTTTCCTGCGGCCGAATTTTGGCCAGTTGTGCCGTCTCCTCCTCTGTGAAGGTGATGACCTCGGGACGAGCCTTTCGAGATGGGTTTCTCTCGGGATTTTCTTCCTCTTCCTCCACACACATATCTACACAAAACAGGAAGGACCAAATCCTCATAAAAACTTAGGTTTTAACACCACAAATATATTAAAACCAAACACCTATGTAGGATTAGAGCGGGTCACTCGGCCTAGCGGGGTCGCCAGGAGGAAGGGGCACAGCGGTCACCGCGTGGGAGCAGTGCCCAAGGACCAGCCGGCAGACAGCTCCGACCCACGGTGTCCACACGGGCCACCGGCGTTCCTAAGCAGACACACGCTACCACGGGCAAAACCTGAAATATCGTCACGTAAAGAAATCAGCAGAGCCCAAGACAGGAGGCCAGAGATAAATTAGCAAAAAGGCCCTAATTAAAGAGTTAAAAAAAAAATTCAAACATACACATATAAGCGTTCTCTGAGTGAGACGTAAGGATGTATTTACATGGATGGTAAACAGGAAGAAGGTGCTATTAAAACCCAAGAAGGAAAAGAGCTGGCTGGGAGGGAGGTCAGAACTGCACAGACAGCTAAAAAATAAAAGAATAAGGACTCAACAGAAACATCGACTAGCCAAACGGACAGTGGCTAACACCACATCAGTGATAAAAACTAACTAGATGCCGCGTCAGGATAAAGGGACAAAGATGGGAGGGAGGGAGAGGAGGAGAGAAGGGAAGAGAGAGGCCAGGGGAGGGTGAGGAAAGGTCGGCCGTGAAGGAGAGAGTAAAGTTTGGCAAGATTTGGGGGCAGTGGGGTAGAGCTGGTGGCCCCACCAGCACGGGTAACGAAATGCGGAGAGAACTATTCAAACACTTAAAGTACCAGGAACCCCATCCACCGGGCAAAGCCACTGGCGGGAAAAGGCGAGCGAAACGGAGCACCACTCACGGAAGAGACAGGATCCGATGGTGTCTGCCACACAGACTCACTGTCCCAACACCGAGAGCAGCTTAAACCCTACCGAGTGGCTCTAGGTTTGGGTAAAAGAAACCAGCGCAAGTGGCTTTTCTTCTGCGGCTAAGAAGGCTCCCGCGGAGCTCTGTTTCTCAGTGACCCCACCGAGGAGAACACCAGGCCCTCGGGTGCACGCTGTGTACGCAGGGGGGTGGCGAGGCCACAACGGGAGCCCCCAGGCGGTCAGCATCAGCTGACAAGGTGGCGCCCTCCCCCTACAGGGTTCCAGAACCTGTTGTGAGGATGCCCCCATTCTGTAAGTCAGCGCAGGGAGAGGTCCTACATGACGGAAGTGGAAAGAAAGGCCTTGCGAGGAGCGAGCAGGATGGAAGCTGGCGCTGTGTGACGGAGGAGGGGCCAACATTCTGAGTTACCTGCGGAAGAAGCCGGAGCAGCTGGCCTGTAGCGGGGAGGCTGGGGGTTTTTATCGCCTTGGGTGGGTTAGGCACGTTTGAAAGACGTTTTCCCCAAACCAGAGGTCGGAGCTACAGCACTCGCTCCCCAGGAGAGCCACCAGGGATGACCGTGACCTTGAGGTCAGCTGAACACGGAGCACACGGGGGCCACAGGCGGGGAGAGGAGCCCGGGGACTCACACCCCCGCCCCGTCACGCCCACCCGGCGACATGCAGCGCCGACCGCGCGGTGTGGACGTGCCGCCATGGGATGTGCTACAAAGACTCGGTCTGGCCGGCGCGGAATGGCAGCCCTACGGCTACTGCGCCCACTCGGGGGGGGGGGGGGGGGGGGGGTCAGCCTGCTCCCGTGGAACTGCGCGGTGCGCCACGTGGATCGGCAGAGGCACTGCGGTGCGTGCACCGTGGGGAGCGCGTGAGAGAAAACGAGGGACGTGCGTGCAGTCCCCGGACCTGACGCGCACCTGTGCCGGGTACCAAACACGCCCACGATGCAGAGCATGAACCCCTCTCCAGTGGGAAACCGCACCTCCACCCACGTGCACGGCCGCCCCGGGGGCGGTGACCGGTGACGGGGGGTTTCCCTCTCTGCGCCTCTCCGAACCTGGTTTTCAGGGCACTCAGGCCGTGGTCGTCAGAAAAGAAACCACTGGAAGGGGTGACACGTACACGATCTCTGGGCACGTCAGCACCCGCTCCCCGGACCTCCACCCACACGGGCAGTACCTCCTCCGTCCGCCTCCCCCGGGGCTGGCGCGGCAGAGGGGGCCGCCTGGTGCCTCTTCATGTGCTTCTTGCAGTGGACTGTGGTGCGGAAGCCCTGCTCGCAGAACGGACACTTATAGGGCTTCATGCCCATGTGCGTGGCCATGTGCCTGGTGAGGCTGCCGTTGGTCGTGAACGAAGCGTTGCAAACACTGCAGCTGAACGCCTTCACTCCTGTGACAACAGAACCGCATTTCGTTACCTTACAGCCCTAAGTACTCGAGGGCACACAGAGATACGTTCAACAAGCCACAAAACCCGAGACCGTCTTCGCCCTGGTCTTGTGCCAGGACGTGGCCACGACAGCACATCTTCCTACTAATTCTCTCGTGCGATCACAGCCTCCGAGCGCGCGGCTCCAGACCAACGCCAAGTCCTCTCCGCCCCTCCGTCTGCTACACTGAAACTGACAACATGCCGTGGACTGTACCCTCGAGACGTTTTCTCAAATACATCTTTTTTCCTCATTCCCACAGCAAATGACGGGGGAGCGGCCCACAGCCCCTCTGTACAGCTTCAGTCTCCAGTCGGGCCCGATGGGAGGACCCTCTTCTCCGGACTGAGGGCACAGAGGCCCCCCTGACTGACCACAGCGGCCATCGGCCATTGCTCGTTGCAGGAGTCGTACAGGCTGCTCTCTGCTGCGGGGACAGCGGACTCCTTAGCAGGACCCCAGACCTGCCCTCACGGGCCCTGCCCTCGGCCTGTCTTCCCAGCACCCGCCAAACCGCTCCCTTGTTTTGTCTGTATGTTTTTATTTTCAGATAAAGCCTTATACAGAATATACTGATGTAAAACAGATATGATATACAAAATAAAAGTACAAAATTAAATATATTTAAAATATACTCAACAGCAAATCATAGATCTGATAAAGAATATATTTTGAAAACTCTTTAAACAATGCAATAATGTTTGCAAATTATCTAATTTAAAAATGACATAGGATTAGGATAGCCATTTCTCAACACGCACATGAAAAGATGCTCCACACCATTAGCCACTAGAGAAACGCAAATCAAAGCCACGATCAGACACCACCACACACTCCCAAGGACAGTCATGACAGAAGGGACACACGATAGGCCTGGTGTTGACAAGAGAGTGAAACCAGAACCTTCATCCATTGCTGGTAGAAAGTAAAACAGTGCAGCCACTTTGGAAAGCAGGCTGATCAACTCGAAGGGTTACACGGAGTTACCAAATGACCGGGCAATGTCACCAGTAAACAGAGAAATGGAAACATAGGTCCACAAAAAAGTATGCACATGTTCACAGCAGGCTAATTCCTAGAAGCCTAAGGACAACTCACAGGACCAACAACTGGTGATAATGAGAGGGTCCACCCACACGGGGGAAGGTTATCCCTACAAAAGGGAACGCAGTGCTAACACCCGCTACAATGTGGACCGGTCCCCACACAAGCTCAGTACGAGGAGCCCTATCTTGTATGTTTCCCCCTGCATGCAATGTCCAGAAGAGGCCAACGCACGGAAGCAGATGTGTGGTTGCCTGGGACACTGGGGTGGGGAGGGCACCAAGGGAAAACAGGGAGGGACCACAACAGGCACAGAGCTTCTTTGGGCTATGACGACAATGTTCTAGGATCAGGGGGTGGCGACGGCTGCGCCCCTCCACGAACACACTGAAAACCACAAAACCCCAGTGCGAGGCAGACAGCGACCTGTGTGGGTCTTCTCGTGAGACTTGAGAACGCCTGAGGACACGAAGCCACGGCCACAGAGCTTGCACTTGTAGGGCTTCTCCCCAGTGTGCGACCGCACGTGCTGCTTCAGGTGGCTGGACTTCTTAAAGCCTTTGTTGCAGTACTCACACCTGCGAACACAGAGTGAAAAGCGGAGAATGCGTTCATTCAGAGCTCACTCAGATCTGACACCTGAGACTGGAAGAGAAACAATCTTCACCAGTGATCAGGAAACAATCAGGCGTCGCCATTACAGAAATTATGACATTAGATCAAATTCTGCTCAGAGGGTCTGTGGTCTTACACATACTTTATTATTTCAATGTTGGTAAATCCCGTACCAATCCCCAGCAGGCGTAATATTTGATTGGTCGGAAACTCCTCCTTTATACAGAACAGGAAGATAATTTATCACGTACTATTTTCTTTACTAAGTCATAGGAGACACTGTGAAACCTTCCACTGCTTCAGGGTCAGAATCATTCCTGAGTCCAGACACTTGGAAATGCCAGTTCATATACTCTTTTGGTTTATAAAATACTTCACAAAACACATTTTCCTAGATCTATTTTGAATACTATGTAAATGTACAGTATTATTTTCCCCTAAGTTGTTACAGAATATACCAAAATTGCTTCAAGGATAAAATAATTATAAACTTCTAAATTCTTATTCACATATTATTAAAAACTAAAAAAAAAAAAAAAAAAAAAAAAAAAAAAAAAAAAGATTTAGAAAGCTTCTTCTATTATATTTCCCTAGCTTTTCCAAGTTTTACCTGCAGTAGGAAATGAGTCAGGTTCCAAACCACGCTCCCTAGGACCAGACATCTGCAGATGCAGTTACTGCCCCCTAGTGTCCACACCGATCTAAAGACTGGCAAATGTAGATGCGTTTTCCAAAGTTCGTTCTGACGCAAGCTTGCTTTTTGAAAAAACCAGAGAAGCAAGCAAACAGCATTCACCAGCTGATGTGAGAAAGCTAATTCCGCCAATGAAGTCGGGACTGGCTCTGTATATAGGGCAGCCGAGGAAAATACTCCATTTGCAGAACTGAGTACCGCTAAACCACACGACGTTTGCTGAGGAAGGCTCCGGCGCCCATACCTACAGATTATGACCAATTTCCAGCACGGGAACAACATCGGCAGTTGTGTGGACAGACACCGGCCCTCAGAGAACAGTCTGAAGCCAGGACGTCACCCCCGCCCAGTCACGCTCCCGCCCCAGGACCAGCCTCCGTCCACGCGGAGACAGGACCCTTCTCTGCCTCCCCTCGCCTCACGAACTACCCTGCCCGCCGTGCAATCACACAGCTGTCCCCTCACGTGTCCAATGTCAGCCTGGGTCACAGAGGCCAACACTGAGGGCAAACCGTCTGCTGTTCCCCAGCACCAGCCCTGATGACGCCACCCCTGTTCCCCAACACCAGCCCTGATGACATGAAACCAAGTCCTGGTCTTTGTGCCATACCTGCTCCCCCAGGGGTGGCCCATTTCTAGGGGCAGTGATTTCACCCTCCCAGCTCTGAGGTCAGAGTCCCAGAGGCCGTCCTCAGCCCCTCCCCTCCTCCCACACCTCTGCCTGTTGGAGGTCCCGTGAAGACCCCACCTTCTGAATGGATAAGGCATCTACAACCAGTCCCAGGACAGTAGCACCTGCTCTCCCACTGGCTGCCACCCAGCACCCACCACCACTTCCTGCTGTCTCTGTCCCCATCTGCTGTGCACCTCGCCCATCCATCTTGCTATCATCTCTTCCCACTAGATTGTCAACTCCTGAGGAATGAAGCTTTTGTTCTGTCTTGCTCACTAATCTAGTGGGTTCTTAATAAACACTGAATAAATGCACAAATGATGCAAGGCCACAAGTCCTGGAAAACCAAGCACATGTCACAAAGGAATCATGAGAAAACATCAATCAGATTAATCTCACTTAAAAATACCAATGCAAAATCCCACTTAAACACGAGCAAGTGAATACCCACTGAATAGATCAGAGTATGAATAAAACAGAAGGAGAGTCTCAGAAGTCCTGAGGCCCATCTCTGTGTATCTCAGATCCCCGAATTAGCAACCACTGCACAAATACCGTGTTGGATTTGCAAATTCGTGAAGATCTCAGGATAATATGCTCCCAAAAGTGAAAAACCTCCTGTATAAAAACACCAGTTCAAGGTACTCGAGGTTGTGTGTGAAAAACAAAACCTATGGAAATGGGAGAGTGACATTACACATTACAGCTTAATGACATTGGCAAATCTTAGCCATTTTCAAAATCCTCAATTAAGACCACTGACTTGAGATAAGATAGCTCACCATTTTTTAAGAGTAACTATAAAGTATTTTTTGTTGTTGTTAAATGGCTGTGGAAAAAATTTAAATTTAGACTTTCAAAAGTATTTTCAGCAAATAAAATTACTAAAATATTATAAAGCCAAGACTATCTCTACAAAGACAACACTCTTATTTAATTGTATACGAGTATGTCTATCTTGTTCCCTGTGAACATTCCCATCCCGTGGAAGCTGGGCTGTGGCCTGCCCACTCTGCAGGGCACCGCACGCGTCCCAAACAGCGCACGGCCACCGTAGGCACTCGGCGCACACGGCTAAGGGAACAGAAGCATGAGGAACAGGCGAATGTAAACGCAGTCTCCGCGGTCACGGTGCTCCTTGGCTGTTATATATACGGCACGCACAGAACCCTGAACAAAAAGACACCCAACAAATTGAAGTTTTTCTGAAAACGTGGTAACAGTGGCTCTCGGCAGTAACAGGAAGTCACCGCACGGCAGGTGAAACGCACAGGCAGGTGGCGAACACTAACCAGCTGTAGAAATCTTAGCAAGCTAATCTCTTTGGTCTCCGATCCTTTAGTTACAATAAAATGGGATGAGAACAGAGCCCGTTCAGAGTCGTTGAGTTAAACCACAAGGCCCTGGGAAGGGTGACGCGTGCGCTGGGCGAGCGGCGGTCAGGACTGGCGTCCGCCGGCCCCCCATGCAGACAGCTACCTGTAGGAGCGCCGGCCCTGGTCCTCCCCGGCCTCCAGGAATTCGGGGCGTGGGGTCTGCAGTTCCAGTTCTTCTTGGGACGACTCTTGGATCAAACGAGTTGTCTAAAATTTAGCACAAGTATAAAGCAGACTACCTGAGTATCTATACATAAATGCAAAACAACCGACAACTAAGGATAAGATTTATAAATGCAGATTCAAAGGAGTAACGCTAAGTAGCTCCATATAATCATCTGGCTAGATTAATAATGAAAATCATTCAGGGGCGCCTGGGTGGCTCAGTCGATTAAGCCTTCGGCTTCGGCTCAGGTCATACACATCCCATGCACGGTTCATGAGTTCGAGCCCCGCATCGGGCTCTGTGCCGACAGCCAGGAGCCTGCTTCAGATCCTGTGTCTCCCTCTCTCTCTGCCCCTCCCCCACTCATGCTCTGTTTCTCAAAAATAAATAAACATTAAAAAATGTTTTTCAAAAAACAAAATAATCATTCATATCAATTTTAGTAAATACTTACTTATTTTCTATTAATTTGCTTTGATACAAAGGCTAGCCAAGAATGAAATTGTTGATCTTTCCATATTTTTTATAATTCTTAATGAGAGATTACTCATCTGCTCTCGTGTTACTGAAAATGAATAAACTCCCACTGCCTCGCTTGTCACAGAACCACAGGGAGAGACAGCATGTCATCCACTCCCCAGGTCCTACCCGGATGCAGCATTTGGACCACAGGCCTTCTAAGCTTTGAAGAAGTGCTCTGAATTTTCCCTGGAGGGTCCAGGCCTGGAGGGTCCAGATAGCTGGAGAAGCTACCCACGGTGGCTCCGGCTGTTTTCAACAGCGGCTTTCACAGAAAGCGAACCATTCATTGGCCGGTCATTTCTTTCACTATTGAAAAATTTCCAAACGTGGAAAAAATCAAAAGCAAAACAAAACTTTAAATGTCCCCAATGAGACTGAGTAAAACTTTTCTTTTTAACTTTTTTTATGTTTATTTATTTTTGAGAGAGAGACAGGGCGTGAGTGGGGGAGGGACAGAGAGAGAGGGAGACACAGAATCCGAAGCAGCTCCAGGCTCCGTGCTATCGGCACAGAGCCCGACGCAGGGCTCGAACCCACAAACTGTGAGATCATGACCTGAGCCGAGGCCGGACGCTCAACCGACTGAGCCACCCAGGTGCCCCAGACTGAGTAAAACTTTTAAATGATGTATTCAGATATTTATTTTTAGGACATCAGCATCCCTTGTATTTCCATTCTGAGATGTAAGATTCCGCAAATAAAAACACATAGCTTGTCACTAACGCAACATGACATCCTTCACGTTATTACACGTTACTGACTTCCCTGAGTTCTAAGAAGTTTTGTAAAATCCCACGTCACGAGACTGAAATCTCTCAGCCAAGTTTAAATGTTTTCAAAGAGAAGACGCTCAGGGGCGCCTGGGTGGCGCAGTCGGTTAAGCGTCCGACTTCAGCCAGGTCACGATCTCGCGGTCCGTGAGTTCGAGCCCCGCGTCGGGCTCTGGGCTGATGGCTCGGAGCCTGGCGCCTGTTTCCGATTCTGTGTCTCCCTCTCTCTCTGCCCCTCCCCCGTTCATGCTCTGTCTCTCTCTGTCCCAAAAATAAATAAAAAACGTTTGGAAAAAAAAAAAATTAAAAAAAAAAAAAAAAAAAAAAAAGAGAAGACGCTCATGCTGAACGTTTCGGCGTCACAGGCGACGCGACACTGTCGGTATGAGACATCAGCGTGCCCTCCTAAGTGAGCGACGTCCACGAGGTTACAGGGAAGCCTGAAGGCGCCGGCGCCAGGCACGCCACGCACACTCACCACGTTCATGGCGTCAGAGCCGGGCACGGGGAGCAGGCTCTGCTGGTGGAAGCTGGCGGACAGGGCCTGAGACTCCAGCGTGCTCGAGTCCTGCAGCTGCTGGACGGGCGCGAACGCGGTCTGCTGACCATACGGATCCGTCACGGGGAAGCCTGAAACAAATCAGAAAACACGAGTCCTACAAAAGATGCTCCGGTCACACACAAAGAAGGTAAAAAGAAAAAAAACAAAAAGTCAGTTTTACAAATAAAGATGTTTAAAGGGACATTTCTACCTTCTGAACTAGAATGAGGATTAGCCGACATCGGCAGGCTCTGAGAACAGGTGCTGCGTCCAGCACACGAGCCGTCTACGCAGCCACCCCAGAGTCCCCTTCTACTTAGTCACCACTGCTCGGCTACAAACCACGTGCAGAATGGTCACTAAGGCGCCTTCCAGACGACTGAGTGGCCACACGCAGTGCGCGCGCGCACACACACACACACACACACACGATCCATGCAGAAAGTTATCGGTTTGAAATCATAAACTTCGGAAGGGCCTTAAAACGAACACCAAAGGCTGCTTTGAAGACAACCCAACCCGGGTGCAGCTCACTGACCCTGCGACAAGCCAGCCGGCTCAAAGGACTGTGCTGGAGCCCGTTCCTCAAACTGGTCCACGGGCCCTGGCAGGGCGGGCGGCGGGGCCACGAACCCATCTGAGGTAGACATGCAAACACAAGGGGCAAGTTGTAAACTCCGAAGTCATTTCAGATCTACCAATCCGTCCAAAATGATACGTTAGTGAGTTCTCAAAAATGAGCCTCCTTCTTTTGGAAAGACAGTAGGAAGTACATATACCTGTATAAATATATACACAACACAAAATACACGATAGATAGATACTATAGTTGAGGCATTACCTTTGTACTTCCAGAATGTCACTTCACAGTTTACCCTAAAACTTAGACGTTCTTCTACAGGGAAAATATCCTAAATGCAATTACATTCAATGACTATTTAAAACCTTTTCAGGGGCCCTGGGTGGCTCAGTCGGTTAAGCATCCGATTCTTCGTTTCGGCTCAGGTCAGGATCTCACAGTTCGTGAGTTTGAGCCCCACGCTGGGCTCTGCAGAAGCAGCACAGAGTCTGCTTGGGATTCTCTCTCCCTCTCTCTCTGCCCCTCCCCTACTTGCGCTGTCTCTGTCTCTCTCAAAATAAATAAATAAACTTAAAAAAATTACATTTAAAAAAAATATATATTTTTGGATGGGCATTGTTCCAGGAAACCCAGAGGATAAAAAGCACAAAATCGTGCTCACAGACAAAATACGTCTGGGAGCCCTGTAACACGGAACAGTAACCTGGCCAGCAAACTGTCTGTTAGGCTCGTGAAAGACAAGGAAACTGTGCCAGACACGAACCAACCACGTCACCGAGCTCACTGTCTACAGCTAAGCTGACATCTGTTTGCAGCAAGACCCTGCTGATGAAGAAAGCAACCCGCTGGGTCCGGGGCCTACCCGCTTGCGGATGCGCGACAATTCACAGAGCCATACCATTCCGTGAGTCAGATGCTCAGGGCGCCATTACACAATGCTAGAGGTCACAAAGATGTACACTTCCTGAGCACGCAGGCCCTTCTCGACACACGAAGGGCTAAAAGTGCCTACAAGAGGAGTGTGTGTGAAGGGTCCTATCTCTGGAATTCGGGATCCCAGCAGACCCTCTCAGGCTCGCACACGGCACAAACTGGGATCCGAAAACTCAGAGATCAGAGACCCCAACCCAGACTGGAGAGAGTGTGAACGGCTGCAAAAACCGTACGGGTGACTGTAAACGTTAGGACTTCTGGAATATTTGCCTTCGTCCGCTTCCAGAGGCTGGTGTGTCAACGGCTGGCCGAGCCCCGCGTCCTCCGTGCGCACGACCTGCTGTGGCTCCAGGTCTAGCATGGCCTCGGGGTTGGCGGTGTCCGCGGCCGCCCGCCGCAGCTCCTCACTCTCGATGTCCACCTGCACGTGCGTCGGGGCGTGCACGCTCTGCTGGTCCCCGGTGCCGTCGTCCAGGGGGGCGGCTGGCTGATGCTGCTGGTGCTGCTGGAGCTGCTGGGCGAGCTCGTACCTTCAGAACAGCAACGAGAGGCCGCGCGGTCAGGGGCCGCCGAGAACCGCTGGCGCGAAGGACCGCTGTGCGGTCGGTCACTTACTAACAACATTTAAAAGAACGACTTCACCTTGAAGCCATGGCGGCAATCCAGCTCAAATTAAACACTAGTAAGAGTTCCGGAGGAAAAAAATCACGTTCTCCGGACTCTAAGTGCTTTCACAGATTATAGGGATATGAAGGCAGCAAAGAGGAGAGAGCAGAACACGCACCAGAATAGGTAACGTCTTAAAAAAGAGTTTAAAAGATACCATACGTTCCACAGTAAAACTGTCCTAGTGCAGACTCTGCAAGGAGTTCAAGTATTCAGAAAAAGAACCGAACGAAACAAGATAGCACCTTTACGGACAGATTTCAGTATCATAAACAAATGCGGGGTGCAGAAGAGGGCCCGAGTGCCGTGGTCTGCTGGCCCCACAGTCTGGGGACACAGACATCTTCCAGGGACCCATGCGTGACACGGCACGGACCATGAGGTATGTACGTGGCTGCTCCGTATTTCTGCAGAACCCGTATTCACGTTAGTACTGCTTTTACGTACTGTAAGTATACCCGGTACGTTTCCACCAAGGTCAACAATTTGCTTTCAAAGATAGAAATGAATGAGGCATTCAGTGAGTGGATCAAAGAACGTAAAATCCCAGCTGAAACGATTACCTGGCTAACAGGTGGACAACATCTAGGACAAGAACAGCCTGCTCCCCTCTAAGATGCCAGGGTCACACCCACATACACTCCACCATCTGCCTGGTTCCAGAATCGCATGAATCCGCCTCCTGGGAATTCCATTCTTAGCTCCAAACAAACTCTACCTGCTTCATTTTCTAATATCAAAACCAGTCACTTCTAAACTACTTTCACTGAGAAGGGGAAACAAAATGTAATAAGACAGATAAGTATGAAATATGCACGGTCACAGCTTTACAACGCCGGGGACTGTGGGGAGCCCGTGACAGTCACGTATGGCTCTGCCGTCACTCCCCAGAGGACGGAAGTGCATCTTGTATGTAACTTCTGCACCTTTGCTACTTTCTATACTTTTGCCTTTTACACTTACTTTTAAAATAACTGTGTATGGCATTTTAGGAATTCCCATCACTTCAAACAAAGGGATGAAACACCGGAGCTACGGGCTGCCTGCAGGTGGGTTCAGACACATCCAATCTGTAAGACGACACCCAGCTCTGCCCCACCACAGACCTACCAGTCTCCAGGCTGTCACCTCAAAGTCACACATTCATCTCAAGTAACTGTGGCAGGTGTCCCACAGCATAACCCGTGACAAGCAGTGGCCGATACGACACTCCACCTAAGAGAAGTGACCCAGCTAAAACCAGCTGACCTACTTCCCAGAAATTCTACTACTGGCCGTCGAGTCCATAAACAAGGCCTCGGATGTGGACCCCCACGCTACTGTGGCGAGTGCACAGACTTGAAAAGGCCTGAGTTCTTGACGGAGAAAAAGCATTATCCGCCTGCCCCCAGGCCAGGTCGAACCCAAGCTCTACCCTGTTAGCACACGCTGCTCCTAGGCACGCCCGCACAGCAGCCAGGGAGCACAGAGCCCTGAACCTCCGTGGCCACCAGTCCCCCAGTCCAAACGCACACAAAGCACATCATTTACTCCCTAAAAGGAGGAAAATATAAACTGGACAGAAGATTGGTCGACACCAGCACCATCACGTGCCCTAGGATGGTCTCAAGAAGCAGTGAAACCTCGCAGCTAAGTGATAACTGGGCCAAAATCAAACACCATTCTTCCTTGTCCTACGTGCTGAGGCATCCAGAGGGCTAATACCAAACAACTACCTCTCCCGAGTAGCTTGTCCTAACACGTGGGGTTTGGCCTTGTTGATAGTATCAGGCAGAGATATCTGGGTTAAAATACTGCCTGAAGAGGAAATACTCGGGAGCAGACGCTTTCATGTTCTCTTACGGCAGACCTAGCGACTCTTCCTGTCACAGTATCCCGGGATGTGGTGACCTTGTGCAGCCTTCCCAGTACAACACAGAATACTGTGCCTTCACAGAAATCCCAGTGAATGAGCTCCAGACACAGCCAGAAATGCACCGGTGCGAGGGCTTCTTGGGTCACCTCCATCTGGAGATGAGAGAGTCCTCGAATCAGATACAAACGTCAGCGAGCTTTAATGACGGGTTTGTGTGATCGCTAAAACACACGTTCTTTTCAAGTCAACAACACAGAGCGATGAGCGTTCGGAGACACTAATGATGTGCCGGGAAATCACAGGGCGAGTGGCTACCACTGTCTTTTTTGCCCTCTTCACCACCTGATTGTACCAGGCAGTCTACCCCGCACTTGGGCGACTGCTGACTGTTCGGAGAGAATTTACAGAGCCTTTAGCCCAACAGACGCCACTTCGATATTACATTAAAAACAAAAGAGTGAATGTTTTGAGCGTGTGGCTCTTAGACGATGACATAAAAGTTTATCTAGTCCATACACCTCAGCTAGAAGTAATAAAACAGGAAACAAAGACCATTATTTCTCAAAACCACTCTGCACCCCCATCTGGGAATTACAGATAACTAAAAAAGGACCATCAGAATTACACCTACCTATGGGTTTTCATGTGCTTTTTGCAATTTAGCGAGGTCTTAAACGTTTTCTGGCAATAGGGACACATATAGGGACGAAGGTCATTGTGGATACCCATGTGTCGCCGTAGGCTACCGCCAGTAGTGAAAGCCCCGTTACATATCAGACACTTGAAAGACTTGACTCCAGTGTGCGTGCGGACGTGTGCTTTGAGCACTCCCGCAGAAACAAAGCCTCTTCCACACTGAGAACATTTAAAAGGCTTTTCACCTGTATGTGATCTAAAAAGAATAAATATGTTAGTGAATGAGCGTCTTACAACGTTACAATGCTTTGTACGTTAGACTAGAGCACACGTGTCCACCGTTTCATTGAGCGCCACGGCGGCGGAAGGCTCGGCAGTGGGGACACCCTTCTGGACATTCTACCAGCGAGAGCGCTGGAGATTCAGAGCTCGAGGGACTTGCCTGAGCCACACAGCGGCGCACGGCGGAGACAAAGGTCTATGGCAAGTCCGCCTCGAAGTTCTCAACGTTTTCATGACATTTCACCATCTCTCGCGACCAAGTCTCTGCTTTCTTTTCACTGTTGCTAGCACCAAGCATTCATCTAAATTCTGATGAATGAATCTGGAAAACCGTTACAGTACCTCACTGTAACTCAACAAACCCAGTACTTGTTTGACACGTCCTAGAAATTGCAAATGCTGACATATAATAGTGCAAATAAAATGCGGTGACAATTTCTGGGTAGAATAGTCTAGTCAAAACACTAATGAATGAACATATCAGTCACCGGGGGTGCCTGGGTGGCTCAGTTGGTTAAGCGTCGGTCAGCCTTCAGTTCAGGTCATGATCTCACGGTTTGTGAGTTCGAGCCCCGCATCGGACTCTGCACTGACAACTCAGAGCCTGGAGCCTGCTTCGGATTTTGTGTCTCCCTCTCTCTCTCTCCCCTACTCATGCTGACACTCTCTCTCAAAAATAAATAAACATAAAAATATATATATATCAGTCACCAATAAATACTGTGGGGTCAAATGTGACATTTTCGAATCCCAAAAACAAACACTACCCGTCCTTACTATTTCTACAAGCTACCCGCTCACCGAATCACTGCAATTAAGCTACATCTCCCATTTCTGGGTGGACATCACCTTACCTGATGTGCTGTTTAAGGTGGCAAGACTTTTTATATGCACGATGACAGTAAAAACACTTGTACGGTCTGTCTGCTTCGTTTACAAAATTGTTATTAAAATAACTTTGAAAAAACTGGTTTCTTGGAATGGGCTGGATAAGACCTACAAACCAAAAGAAAATCAGGAATAATTCACTGTTAATGCTACTAAAAAAGTTAAATGTCAAAAGGCATCTGTTTTCCCCAAAAGATGAAAATTTGGAGGAGTTAAGATCTAGATTTCCAGTGTTGCAGCTAAATGCTATTTTAATTGTGTTAGAAACTGGCTATTTTAAAAAACTGGGAAACACTTATAAAGTTAACGTAAGACAGGTATTTTCCAACACAAGGGATATACGTACATTGCAGTTCCTTCCTCTGGTTCTAGAGCCAATTTTTAATGCATTCCTACATTTGCTGGCATGGAATCAAAATAACCGTATCCAAACTGTAGGTTAACCAGGACTCTGAATCCCTTATTTGTTCAGTATAAAGACTGTACCCCAAGGACGACAATAAACTCAAAACACAAATGACTCTAACATGATCTTCTGTTCTAAAAAAAAAAGTCTATTTTTATAGAAATGCTATTAAAGGGTTATCTGTGAATAGGAAAACTGGTAACTGAAGTATTCCAGGTTTTACCGACTTTCAATAAATAAAGAACCCCCTTAGGTTGACTGTGAAACTTAGGTCTTGATCAAGCCATTGAGCTAAGTACGCAATTCAGGACAAACACGCATTTGAGCCTTTTCGATCGCTTCCTATTTACCTGGAACGTTAAGAGGGAGACCTCACCGTCGCTCTGCCCAGGCGCCCCCTCCTGCCCCATGGCCACACGGCTGCCGGTCAGGATCCTGGGCCACTAACTCCCGTGTGAGGATTCTTGGCAGGCACCTCTCAGGACACCGTGGCTTTCCTGGACACTCAGACCACAGCTCGGTTCTCTGCCCTAAAACCTACTTCTCCCTCTCAACTCTCCTTGTTGCACGTGAACGACAATCCCCCCAGTCACATGGGGCCAGGAGTTCAGAATTTTTGAGAACTCCCTCCCCGGTCTCGTTCGGTCCTTTGCCGTCCTGGGGGCCCTACGTCCCCACGGCCTCAGAGACCTATTTCCCCTTCTTCATTCCCGCTGCCGCCAATCTCAGACAGCGGAGGAAAAAGCAAAGCTGGGGAGGATTCAGAGGCTCAGCAAGTCACGTCACTCCCATATCAGACTCAGGAAAGGGGCCTGTACCTCCTGATGCCTGCGCCAGAAGCCCACCTGGTTTTCAAAGAGAACTCGGCACCCTCCCTGTGACCTGTGTTTAATCGACAGAGCACAAACCGTTATGCCCAAACTTGTCCCAGTTCACGAGTGTTTGGGACCAGCAGAGCCGTATCAGTGCCATTCAGAGTCACTCTCTCTCTCTGGAAGCTGCAACGCTGTTCCACGCTCCCCGGCTTTGTCCTGGGGACTCAGCTCCCGCTCAAAACAGCTGGAGTCGCCTCCCCCAGGACCCACAGACCGAATCCCACGGAGACATATGCCGCGACGACGCCTCCATCAAATCGCGGTTCTGCTCAACCTTCTCCGGTCCCCAACAGAAAGACCCTGTTACTGAAGAACACGACGTGCTCACAGGCCTTCCGTGGCTTGCTACCGAGTTCTGGATCAGCACCGCTCGGGGTGCCTTCCGCCCGCTTGCGCTGGCGGCTCCACCCGGCCGCCCACCCTCCCTCCAGTCCCTCTGGCTCACTCTCCCGGTCTCTTTCCCCCCCTCCACTGGCTGCAGCGGAAGCCCAGGACCTGTGCCGTGGTCACGGACATAGCCCCGAGCCCGTGACAGTCACCTGCCAAGGAGGACAGGGATCGTGACCAAAGAAATTAATGCTCCCGCCCGCAGTGTCGAGAAAACCAGGGACTGAAGGAAAGAAGCACACACACAAATCCAAACCAAGATCGTACAAGCCCCACCCCAGCCACCTACCTCTGCAGGAACCCCTCAGCCCCCCGTGGTTCCCCACCCAACCCTCTCCTGGGGCTTCTGGAACCTATGTCCTCCACCGTAAACGAGTTCACACAATGTTTAGTGCCTCATTTCTTTTCCATGACAATGAGCCTACCGTCAAGAGTGAGTCCCCTGAAGCTGGCACCCTCACTCCTAGGGATTGGTGCTTCTCTGACGAGGAGCCCTCGCCCTGAGCCCTGGCCCAGTGCTGCCTCCTGGTCTGCCATCATTCCTTCCCGACCTGCCTGCGACTCCATGAGCAGAGTCCTGTATCCAACCCCTCGCGGATGCGCTCCTGTGTACTCTGCAAGTCCTCTGGCCCCCTCTCCGGTAATTAGGAAGCTCGTTAAGAGAAAAGTGAAAGAATCCGCTCTCAGAGATAATCATAATTAACAGTGTGTGTTCTAACAAAAGGGTCTGTTATATACAAACGCAAGTGGGATCGGCCATACACCCTGTTCTGGTTATACTTCAACTCCATATTTGCCACCTTTCCAGGTCAGTACCTAGGACATCCTCATCATCCTCTGCAAGGAACTCAGCTGGGTCAATGTGTCCAGTGCATATCACACACTTTTGGTGAGTATCTCTATTGCCCTAACTGTATACCGTCACAGTGCTGCAAGGAACAATCCAGTCTATACAACTCTTTGCCTTAGTCATTTCCCCAACACGCACGGAATGACAACCTCTGGGGTGGTGTCCAGGCACATGTATTGAGAAACAGACCCCTAAATGATCCTGAGTCCTTTGCAAGTGTGTGGGGGGAGGGGGCTCCCTACTGTGAGCTATTAAGGCAGTAAAATTATAGGCCTCATTTGTTAGATGCTTTTTCACCTATAATTTTACAAACATAAACTCCTGTTACAAAGTTAGACTAATTATAAGGTCTCAATCTTCGAAAAAAAAAAAATTAAGGGAGAATTAAACATACATAAATTTCCTATATATACACACATATATACATATATACATATGTTAAGTAAACTACTCTTCTCAAAGAAAGGCACGAATAAATTCTAGTTGATTAACGTGTCTCAAAAACAAACTGGACATGTGCTTAAAACTCCTAAAATTCCTCCTGTAGTAACAGGAGAAAAAGTTTTATCTTGCTACAGTATTTCAGGAAATCCATTTAAGCCTTAGAAGAGCTTTCACACGTTATAAACAGTAAGAGAATGCAAATACTGCAACATGATGACAAACATAACATTATTATAGATAATGCACACCATATAAAATGAACTTGATATTTGAGGTGAGACGAATGTGTTTTAAAAAGCAAGATAAATGCTCTAATATCAATATAATTAAAACATGAAGATAAACTTGGAAGATCAATCATTACACCCCTGAGGTTTAAAATAAAAGATAACCGGTGCCTGGGTGGCTCAGCCGGTTAAGCGTCCGAGTCGTGATTTTGGCTCAGTGCGTGATCTCATAATTCACGGGATCGAGCCCCAGCATTGGACACTGCACGGATGGTGCAGAGTCTGCTTGGGATTCTCTCTCTCCCTCTCTTTGCCCTTCCCCACTTGGGCTCGCTCTCTCAAAATAAACTTAATAAAAAAATAAATTAAATAAAAGATAACCAAAGCCCGGCTCCCTTTCAAAGAAAAGGTATTTCAAACATCTGTGCTACACAAAATGAAAAAATGGGGACATTACACTTATACACACACATACACGTCGTCACGTATGGGGAAAAACAGTGACTTCTAAAAAAATAGATGTATCTCTGAGTTGAAAACTGAGAAGAAACTATAGACCAGAATCGCTTTTCCTTTTTTCTTCCCCCCTAGCTTTATTGAGAAGCTGAGAAGTAAAAGGCACACATCGCCACAGAGGAAGGCAGACGGCGGGATGGTCTGACGCGTATTGTGACGTGGTCACTGCGGTGGGCTCGGCTAACACCCATCCTCTCATAAAGATACAACAAAAGGGAAAGAAAGGAAAAAAGAAAACAGTGCTACCTGTGATGAGAGCTCTCAGGACCTACTCTTCACAACCGTCCTGCACATCACACGGCAGCGCGAGCTGTAGTCCCCACGGCGGCCTTCTCATCGCTGTTGTGTATTTATCTCACAGCTGGAAGTGTGTGCCTTTTGACCCCCTCCCCCCAACGCTCCCTGTCCCCCACTCCCCTCTTCTGATAAACACTAGTCTGACCTCTTGTTCTATGCATCTGTTTTTGTTTTTTCTTCCTTTTGGATTCCACACATAAGTAAGATCATATGGTATTTGTCTTTCTCAGACTTGTCTCACTTAGCAAAAAAATGCCTTCAAGGTCTGTGCACGTTGCCACAAATGGTAGGATTTCCCCATCGTTTATGTCTGAATAATATTCCATAATGTTTTTACCCATCTGTCCATCAATGGACACTTAGGTTGTTCTCATCTCTTGGCTACTGAAGATACTTCTGCTGTGGACATGGGGGTGTGGCTATCTTTTTGAGTTAGTATTTTCATTTCCTTTGGAGATGGACGCAGAAGCAGAACTGCTGGATCGTATGGCAGCTCTATTCTTAATTTTCTGAGGATCCTCCTTACTGTTTTCCATAGCAGTTGTACCATTAACAGTCCCACCAACAGTGCACAAAGTCTGCCTTTTCTCCACATCCATACCAGCATTTGTTGTCCCACAGGCATAGTTCACTGTGGTTCTACTTTGCATATCCTAATGACTAGCGATGTTGAGCATCTTTTCACGTAACTGTCAGCCTTCTGACTATCTTCTTTGGAGAAAAGTCTATTCAGGTCCGTTACCCACTTTTTAAATTTTTTTTTAGATTTATTTACTTATTTATCATTTTGCCATTCAGTTAGGAGTTCTCTATTTATCTTGGATATTAACATTTTATCAGATACACTGATTGCAAACTTTTTTTTTTTTTGCATTCCATAGGCTATCTTTTCACTTTACTGATGGTTTCTTTTGCTGTACAGAAACTTTTTAGTTTGATGTGGTCCCACTTACTCTTTATTTTGCTGCTTGTGCTTTAGGCATCATATCCAAAACATCGTTACCAAGACCCACATCAAGGAGCTTTGTTCCTAGGTTTTATTCTAGAACTTTTATGGTTTCAAGTATTACATTTATGTATTTAACCCATTTTCAGTTCATTTCTGT